AGTTCAAGAATGGAATTATGTACAGAGCAGGAATTGTCAAGGAAAGTAAATCAGAATCACCCAAATATTTATATGTGGTTATTTTTATTATTTGTTAAATTGCAGATAACAGTCAGCTGTAGTGGCCTTCAGTACTGTACCCAAACCACGGCGCCACCTCGGCGCCATACAAAGTGGGGAAAAAAATTAAAGGAAAAAGAATAAGATTTTTATTGTAACTGTGTACCACTTTTGTTTTTGTCTGATTGTTCTGTTATTTGGGAGTAAGGAGGCCTATAAATTTAATAAATAATAAAAATAACCACATATAAATATTTGGGTGATTCTGATTTACTTTCCTTGACAATTCCTGCTCTGTACATAATTCCATTCTTGAACTTAAAAGTAATGTACCAAGCACAGTACATTATTTGCATTAATATAACAAGACTAAACAAGGAAAACTCTGCTTTACAATTTCAAAGTTTCATAAATGGAATAGTACAGGTAGTCCTCAACTTACAACAGTTATTTAGTGGTTGTTCAAAGTTACAACAGCACTAAAAAAAATGACTTATGGCATTGTAGCATCCCCATGGTCATCATCAGAATTCAGCCCCTTGGCAACTGATTCATATTTATGATGGTTGCAGTGTTCTAGGACCAAGTGATCATCTTGTGCAACCTTCCAACAAGCCATGTCAATGGGAAAGCCAGATTCACTTAACAACTAACTTAACATCTCCTGTGATTCACTTAAAAGCCATGGCAATAAAGGTCGTAAAATGGGGCAAAACTCACTTAACAACTGTCTCCTTAACAACAGAAATTTTGGGCTCAATTGTAATCATAGGTTGAGGACTACCCGTGTATATGGATTTGACTTTAAAAAAACAGATGATTTTTCCTTTTAATTTTGCATACCGGTAAGTAAAATGTCTTAAGTCTCAAAAGTTTGCTTTAATGACTATTTGCATACCCTTAGACTAGAATTAATTCATCGTATGATTAGTGATATATAGATTGAAATAAACCATTCCCAGAATTTTTGGGGATGCACATCACAGCATTTCCTTCCAACTTTCTTCTCCAGGGCCCTAGATCTTGTTTTACGGCAGAGAAAGAAATGGAAAGAAAGTCCCGCGGGTATTGACAGAGCAACTGCTTGTTATTAGAAAATGGAGGCAAAACTACATCAAGATTGAGTCAGCCCCATCCTTTCAGTACTCGTGACTTTTCAAGATAGTGAGCTATTAAAGAAAATTATGGAAAACCTCTTGTCCTTGTTCCTTGTAAACTGCTTTATTGGAATGCTTGAGCACTTGTAATTGGATTGCATAAACTCAGTGTTCCCTTATCTGCAGCTGCTTCTTCAGGAATGCTAATTTTTCTGTTTAAAAAAACATAGTGAGAGTCACTGTCAGTATATACAGGACACTTTCTAATCCATGTATATTTTGCCAGTAAACTGCTTTCAGAAAGATTGTTACAAAGAGTAAATACAAGTATGGTTTTTTTTTAATCAGTTCAGTTAATATGGATTTTGTTGCGAAGGAAATAAAAATATGTAACTTAATGTTTTGGAATCTTATTAGTTTCTGTTGTGTATATATCTTGCTTTTCAATCCTGTGGCCTCATCAATCCCATACTGAGATTTCCATGTAACTTAAAAAATAAAAAGAGATAAAATAAGCAAATCTGAACAGCATAGTGGGTAAGGCACTGTCTAGAAAACGGGAGACCGTGAAAGCCAGCTGGGTGACTTTGGGCCAGTCATTCTCTTTCTCAGCCCAAGCCACCTGATAGGGTTATTGTTACGGGGAAAATAGGAGTAAGGTGTGTTGGATATGTTCACTGCCTTGAGTTATTTATAAAAACAATAAGGGCAAAATACAAATAAATAAATAAAATATCCAGATAAACCAAGAAGTAAAACAATGAAACTTAAAAGATTAGTTATGTATAGAAGTTCTAATATACCAAAGTGAATTGTATTTAGGATCCCCGGAGTATTATATCATGGCTAATAATCTATTGAACAAAGTCTCTGATTATTGCATTAGGCACACAAAGATTGTCCTATTAACCATACAGTATTCCAAATCATTGTTCACTGATAATGACCAATTTTTGAATTGGAGCAGTGAAGCTAATGAAGTGAGAAAAATTGTTCTCTAGAACATAGATGGACAAGTTTCAGATTTTTAAGATGATACTAGGTACACTGGATGAAAAAATAGGGTTACTTTTGTTATTATTGATTATTTCTGCTTAACAACATAAATTTTAAGTATTTTAAAGCACACCCTGTTCTAGTAAATCTTATTCTACACATCTTGCCTAAATCCTTGCCTTTCATAACTTGAGAATACTGTCATTCTTGAGATTCTGAGGAATCCTTTCTTAGTTTTATCTTAGAGAATGTGCCTTCCAGAGGCATCAAGCTACATCCGTAATTTTCAGAATGGCAGTTTTGGAATTCAGCTAGATTGAAAAAGGTTGATACACACTTTTTGTTCCTTTTTTTTCCTCAAAAATTCTACACGTTCCTTGAAATAAGTTGTTTACATTTCTTTGTTTTGACGTAATGGATGTTAGACCTACAATTACCCTACTAAGAATAGTTCCCAGCATTCTCTGTGAAGTGAAAAGCATTGTGGCTTTATTTTCAGTTACATAGGTTTCTTGTTATAATTAATTCCTATTACCTTTTACTGGCTATTTGCATCCATATGCAGCATATGCACAGATTTTCTTACTTTTCCTGACCCTGGAAATTGTACTGCCAACATTCTAATAGACTTTTAATAACATCAATTTTTAACTTTGAATGTTTTCCAAAGACCCTATATTGTGTTTTTTTTTAATTTTACCATTAATTTTGTATCAGCACTTCCTTTTGCTCATTATACAATTTAGAATTTTCTTAATCACACAATACCTCCAATTATTACAGCTTTTATGTTAAAGAACTTATTAATTGCTGTGAAGATGCATTATTGCAACTGCAGGAAAAACAAATGCTGCAAACTTAGTTTGCAACACAAATAAGCATATGCGGAGCATTGGTAAAACAAAAACACAACATTTAATTCAGTTTATATTACTATTTTTAATCTCTTAGGTAGCTGCTTCATTGATGACAACTTCCAAGATAGATGAAAAAGAAGCCTGCAGAAACGTGAGGTATACATAATAAGTATAAATATTGATTTAATACAAAAAAACACAGTGCATTTGTTCACATCTTTTATTATTTCATTTTTAAACTTTTTTTTGTGCGCCGAACCGGCAGTAATGCTGGCAACAACCCACCCCTGCTATGCAGGAGAAATTTGATTCACAATCCGTTGGCTCGGTGGTGGTCGGTGATTGAAACACAAGGGAATATCACTCCTGCTGCCTTAAGTCTGGAAGCAGTTCCGGTGAAAGGCATAGACATTTTGGTGAGGTACCAACGTTTAGTACTGTAAGGAGCCCCAGACCGCTCCTGAGTGAAGGAGTGGAATGTCTGCCAGTTTGAACTGAGGNGTGTGTGTGTGTGTGTGTGTGTTGTGTATTTCCACTGTTATAAAAGCTGTATATTCACTACTTTACAAGTATCATTTCTTCAGTTTTGTCATATGAAAAGATATACTTAAATAATTACAAAATGTGAGGGGGGTGTACTCCTGTGATATTGTGTGTATGTGATCCTATTGGAGTTATGTAGTTATCATGGGGTAAATATTCTGGATTTTTGCTTGAGTTTGGCCAGTTTCAGAGTAAAATCAGACATTAAATTCTCTATGCTTGGTAGGCAGTCTTATTTCTACTTGGGTCTCTAACCTAGTGTTAAAATCAGTCCTAATCTTTAAACTGTTTGTGCAAATTTATGGCTTTCTATATTTATAATACAGATAAATCTAATAATAAAATCACCTTTTTCTGTTTGTTTATTTATTGCATTTTATTTCTAATCACTTCCATTATCTGGGTGTGTATATGTGTGAGAGAAGGAGGTATGAAGTTTCCTGCACTAAAAGCACAGAAATGTATTATACATTATAATAACAAACTCTAAACTCTAATTTGCTTTGGAAATTTATCTTTACATATTGCGTAAGTAAATACTGCATTATATAAGCAATCTGTGGGCTTGAATGTACTCCATATTTTTGCACAAGCTATAATTTGAAAATTGGAATATTTTTATTACATGTTTTATGCCAATGTAGGTAGTGCTGGGGCAAGCAGGAGGCAAAGCAACAAGTAAAATGGAGCCATCTATTCTATTTTCCGCCTTACATAGCCATTTAAAGACCATTTGAAGTTACGATGGACTTGGAAAGCGTGCTTTCTGACTTGTAAAACACTTCTGGTCATTATAAAATGTTTCCTTCTCCTCCCCCCCCCCCAACAGTATGTGATGTAATCTTCCCTGCCATCTTCCCCAGAAAGTCAGTTGGGAAGCCAGCAAAGAAGCAGTAGGGATGGAGAGGAGCTGAAATCCTTCAGCAAGCAGCTCTTTCACTCCATCTGCTTACAGACCTAGGAAACTTAACTACTGCAATCAGGAGTGCTGGGACTGCAGTTGTTAAGTGAAGTAGTCACATCAGTGTCTCACTTAATGATGCTTCATTCAAACAACCAAAATTCTGGTCCCAATTGTGGTCATAGGTCTACCTACTAACTGTAGGTTGCTGGAGAAGGTGTAGATTATTATTGCTGAAGATCATTTGCTTTGAAATTGAGATGAAAGAAATGGAAAATTAAGTTGTACGGTAATTAAGTTGTCTGGGTGATACATGTCTTTGGCAATGCATCATCTCTCCTAATAGTGAACTAAACACTCACAAATACCACATCTGGTATCTATTTCTATTCTAACTATCCTGTCCCTACTCTCTGGGACTTCAAGCTTCATGAAGAGAAGGATTCCTGTTAATTATAGTGTTTAAGAAATGCACAGTATTGTAACATGCAAGACATTTTATCTTGAAATTCAGAATGTAATAGTAATATTAATAGTGGTATTCATTTGTTTTCTATATAGAGAACAAAAAAGCATTGTTTAAGTTAACCAAACAATATGCTCCAAAGAATACTTTAAAAAATATAATCAAAAGATACATTAACGGAACCTCTGGAAAAGTTTAAAGATTTATTTAAAAGTTTATTGTACTATTAAATGTCAAAAAGCAATGGAGTAAAATCCTTGATATTTGTGGAAATCTCAGGTAATCTGTTGGCTAGAGAATATTCTACTTAGAGCTATTAATGGCTATAAATCCATAGGGCCATAACTATGAAAGCCTGCCAAGCCTTATAAAAAGAACAACATAATAGTACATAGAAGATTGATTCTTTTTCCCCCAATTGATAGGGATAGAGAGAGATGCTTTTGCATTGGGATATTATTAAACTTTCCAGCTATGAAGGGGTAAAAGAATGAATATAGCATGTGTGAGAGCGATCCTATAAACTGAGCATAGGATATTGGCTAAATAATTAAAATTGGGGAAAGTTCTTCCAAGCAGAACAATCTCATACAGTGTGGATACAGTAAATTATATTTTTCCAGGTGCCAACTTAATTAAGGATTCATTCATTAAGGCCCATTGAGACTAAATTTTGAACTAATAAGTTATAATACAAATCCACAATCCTGCCTCCCTCCAACTGTGGACAAAAATATTATATTGTAAGGTCAACTAGGGAACTGCCTGAAAAAACAACATATCAAATGAACATTTCTGATGGCAAAGTTGAATTCAGATTCCTATCCCTAGAATCCACAAAAATTACACAATAGGGAATTCTTAATAATGTCCCTAGAAAATTGTACTGGACAGATTCAAGAGATCCTAGTTAATTATAAATTACCTCAGCATATACCATAACCTTTGCTCTAAAACTTCTTGGCTCCCCCCCCCCCGCCAAAGTTCAATTACAGCATCCATTCCAGTGGATTTAGTTGAACATATAAATAATTGTAATAAATAAAAACATGATTTGTATCATGTTAAGACCATGAACACAGAAGAAATGAAGTGTATCAGGCTAATACTTCAGTTATGGAGTGACCTGGCATTCAGTAGGAAGTCCATAATTTGATAGCAGCAAGAATATAATGAAAGTAAATATGAAAATTGTTATTATTTCAGCTACTGCAATAATTGATGCATACTAAGATGCTTTATATGGACAGGGCCAGACACATTTCTCTTAAAAGGGGGAATCTAGAGTATATTACTAGGAAACAACGAAATTGGCTACTACCTTTTTTAATTAATTTGCATAAAGAGTGGAACCTGCCTTGAAAACATCTTTTTCATTGTTAGGACTGAGTTGCGTGAAGAAGGAAAGCAAGATAAAGAGCTCTGTAGCTTTTTAGTTGTCTCTAGAGATGAAGTGTCACAAATTTGTCAGAATGGCCTATGTACCGGTGATTCCAAAAGAGAAATAAACATTATGAAAGAACTAGGAAATCCTCAACTTGGAGTTTATTTGTTCCGATATATTGATATTGCTTTGAATTATGCATCCAAACATTCATTTCCAGTAGAAAATATCATTATATTCAGGGTAAGTCTTTATATATCTATATATTTTAAAAATGTAAAGCAATTACTCTGTAATGTGGGGAATCATTGGTTTGGATCCTGAAATAGCCTTTATTCTGTGGAAGGAATTTGTTCCAAACAGATTTGAATATAAATTTAAAATGAGCAATTATAAGGATATGGGAAAGCTGAAAAAGTATAATTACACATTTTTTAAAAAACATAAGTAAATCGGGAAAGCAAAAGAAGACAAATGATGAAGTGTTCACAATGTCCTCGTGCAAACAATTTTATTTACATCTATTTGAATTTGATATTACATATTGATGACATCAATTTGTGTCTGTATGTGAGAGAGTGTTATTTTAATGCCTCTGTAGCTTAGTGCAGACACCGCTGATTGAAACAAAGTCCATGATTGTTCCAAGGATTATTTCTAAAACTGCTTACCAGAATCTGTAATTATTGTTCAGCCAACTATGTGGTGAGAAGAGTTCAATTAAAAAACAACTCATTAGGCAAAGAATCCAAGGAAAAAAGGAAGACTGTGTCTGAAATTCAGACTTTATTGAGGGCAGCCATCGGTGCAAGCCAGCAGCTTCCTCTACACCTGTTAATTTATAAGATTCTGTCCAGCAATCTAAGAATTTCATCTGTTATAAAAATTACTTCAACATCTTTTTCCCCTTCCTATCCCTTTCCCCAGAAAGCCATTCTGTAGCTTATTTGCAATACTGATAATGGTGGTAAACCTATTATAGTATTTTGCTGAAACTCAGACTTAGCCTTTGCATGATATTTGCCATCATAATGCCCCTTGTTTTACTTGGTGTTTTACTTATTCCTTTCTTGGCCCCAAGGACAGGACAGTCCTTGGCATTTTTGGACATTTTTGGATTTTTGGCAGAATATGGGAAAGAAGCAAAATGGGAAGGATAGGTGGGAAAACACAAGCAGAATTAAAAAAAAAGTCAGTATAATTAAGGAGATCTACATATTTTTCTACCTAAAGTACCCAAAGAGTCTTCCTAATAATGAGCTCAGTACACCGTGTTTCCCTGAAAATAAGACAGGGTCTTATTTTCTTTCGATCCCCCCAAAAAGTGTTTGGCCTTATTTTGGGGGAGATCTTATTATTTTTGAGGTGCAGGAGGCAGCATGCATGGTCACCTAATAGCTGCTGCTGAGTTGCAATATTTTTGGAGAGGGCTTATTTTTTGGGGAGGGCTTATTTTAGCACATGTGCTCAAAAGCCCAATTGGGCTTATTATCCAGAGAGATCTTACAAGGTAAGTCATAATATTTTGAGCCCAAAAATCACCATCTTCATATGTGCTACTGTTTTTAATAGTGCAATGGAAAGATCTTATAAATGGAAGATAGTATGTAGTCTACAGAATGCCAATATTAATTCTAAATGTCATTACTGGGAATAATTTAAAACTATAACATTCTGGTATACAATAAAGCACTTTATTTTTCAAGTTTCATATCACCAAAAAAACTCAGTTGAACTGCGTTGCTATTAAACTAGTGTAAATATATATATGAAAAGGTTTTGTTTGCTTTGTATTTCTAGGTTCTTTTAGGAAAAGTTAAAAAAGTTCAACCACCTAAAGGCCAAAAGAAAATTGTACTGGATCCAACTCCAAACTCTGATTGCCATATGTCTAGAATTCATCCTTCACTTAAGGATTCTTTGGAGGATCAGGCTACTGGGTCTTTGGTAAGTAATACTTTAGTGATTTTATTTTGACAAGATACAGCATGATATCCTACATTTCTATTTTTTTGAAGTTATTTCATTTTTTAAAGTTTAGAATAATTGGATTTTAAGGAGGGGGCTACAATTTAGAAACTATATATTCAGAAAATATAGCAAAGCTTAAATAAAGTCTTATATAACATTTAGTCAAACAAAAAAGTATTTGGTGAGAAAGAAGTTATTTCTGACTTCATTATAAAGAAGACCCTCTTTCTGGGCTCTTCAACGGGGATAAAATCTAGCATTTCACTTGAAGAATCAAGGGCTGGTATTTTCAGTAACTGTGCTAGAGATTAGCATCAGGAAAACTGGAAATCTTATCCTGGCCAATGGAGTGATTCAGTGCAGGAGAAATTTATCATAAAGTACCTAGAATTATTTCTGTGGTTGGATTTTTTCTGTTCAGCCATTGTTGGTTTGAAAATGTCCCAGTTTTCTCCAAGCTTAAGAGCCACAATATATATTTTATAATAAAAATTGTCTCTTTACAAGTAGTCCATGACTTTACAAACACAATTGACCCTGGAATTTTGGTCCTAAATCATTGTACTCACACATTGAGTCACCACATGGCCAGACTCGATTTTATGACCATTTATAGACTGTCATGAAGTATGTTACGGTGTGGCCATAAGTCTGAATCCAACTTATCCAACATGCATTTTTTGCCAGAAAACAACAAAAAATGTCACAAATTGAAATCATATGATCATGGGATACTGCAACCAGTCATAAATGCAAGCCAGTTTCCAAGCACCTGAAATGTGATCATGTAACCACAGGGATGGTAGGGCAGTCATAATTATTTGAGGAAGGGCCATAAGTAAATCAAGAAGCAGGATCCTAACACATTCCAAACCACAGACATAGCCAAATTTTTAAAGCCTTACAAAAGGTCAAAAAGATTGGACCATTTTAATTTCCAAAGGGAGTATATTCCACAAAGCAGGGACTACAGCAGAGAAGGCCCCAAATCCTGCTAGTCAACACGTTTTGGCTGACAGGATCTACAGCATACCCATATTGAGCTGGTGGATCAAATTGGACAGGTAGAGATTCTTGGAAAAAGACATTATTTCAGGTAACCTGATCCCCAGCCATATAGAAATTAATTGGATGTTGATGTGCTGTATAAAGTAGATACAGTCTTTCTTTGAATTCAGTTGTCTGCTTCTGCAAAAAAAACCAAAACTATATATACTGTAAGGAGCAGCACGTGTAAGAGAATATGAATGTTGTCAAAGATTTGATAGATGAAGGGGGATTTTTAATTCTGCTTCACTTTTGAGATGTTATTAAATATTTTTCCACAGACATTTTATCCTGAATTTCCTAAATCTTCAGCAAATAATTTTATATTAAAATTAGAAAGCATGTGATACAAATTGTCATATTAGATCAGGACTGGCAGCCCATATTCGATCAAACTGGTGGCCCACAGGCCAGATACAGCCCATGCAGGCCATTCCTACCCCAGCTCTGCAAAGATAAAAAACATCACGATCCGGCTCGTGGCCTGATCAAGATTGACACCCCTATATTAGATACTTTAATCTCTTCACAAAACAGTACATTTTGCACCTAGTTTGTATAATACTTTTATAAAAGAGAGGTGCTGCAACAGATTAAAAGTTTTACCACTCATTTTGTTGATATTTGATCACAGTGTGGTCACTATTTTTGGTCTTTGTCTAAGTTTAAAGTTAATTATCCAGGTATATTTTTATTTTCTTACAATACTTCCATTTACAGGTATATTTTTATGAATATAATGAACATTCAAAACCTGTGGATAAGCCTAGGCAATGTCTTCCATATGCTGTAATACATGTAAAATCTGTTAATCAGAAAGGAGGGACTGATTCCTTCCTAACATCTTTGAAGTGTAAACTTAAAAGATTACCCAAACACACTGGTAAGTTTTCTTGAGCTTTTATGTTAATTTTATTGTATTCTACCTTGATTCTGCTCAGTTTTTCATGTTTAGACATTGTTTCATGTCATCTTCTTAGCTTCTGCATTTAACTTCATAGCTAGGATGCAGAGATCTGGAATGGAAAAGCATTAGATCAGTATTTTTTTAAACTTGGCAACGTTGTGTACACTTCATGCTAGCTGGGGAATTTTGGAAATTGAAGTCCACACATCTTAAAGTTGCCAAGTTTGATAAAACACTACAGCAGATTTAAAGCAGAGACATATATTTGGAACACTTTGTTGCCATCTACTGGTCATGTAGATTTTTACAGCACATTTCTGATTGTCATTTGATGCGTGCCTGCATTACTTAAAGGTTGGATATCCAGCTCAGCTGTGGTTTCTTTAGTCATGTTGTCATGTTACAGTATTACATTGAGATCTCAAACACCCACTGCTGCCTTCAGAACTACTCTTCCTCTTTTTCTTAATCCTTAATCAGACTATTCTGAGCCCTCAGCACAGGATCAGGCTTTTTAAAAAGAGTTTCTAAAATAAATTTTCAATGGTCTGTTCCATTTGCTACCATTGAAAAGGTATTGTGCTGCTATGTTTCCTCCAATCTGATAGATTTTTGACCGAAGGAAAAAGATATGAGAAATGTTGAGAAAGCACAAAAAGGCTACAAATACAAGCTTCCACTCCAATAAGATTCTGAGGGTCATTCTGTAATAAAACTCTTGGCTGGAAGTGGCCAGAGTTTTTAATGTTATGTTCAGAAAGTATTGATAGTTTGCCTCTTTATGTCACTGCTCTTTGGAAAAAACAGAAAAATAGCAAGAAATCATTCATAGGCAAATACAAAATTATTACTTCTCAAGTATGTGAACATAGCAATTCTGCTGTAAATGCTGCTACAGAAATTTGCTATGCCTCTTAGTTTTTTTTAATCCTACTGGTCAGTCTTCACTTTTTGATAGTACAACTTGTTTTATCTTTGGATTTGTATAAAATTGTTTATAAGCCAAATTGAGTTTGTGGAAAATTTCCCCCTTAGAATAACTGTTTACTGAAACTTAATAAAGATAAATATAAGTTTGCTTCCTAAAGTTACAGCTGTGTGAAAAGGTTCTGCACGTTTTCAGTTTTAAGCTTATTTACATGTTTAATCAACTTTTCACTCATAGAAACCACGCAAAATTAGTACTTTGAT